CCCCCCTCTGCAAATGCAGAAACCTCCCCAACTTCCTGTGTTTTACATTTCACCCCTGGATCAACGGTGTGTCTTGGTGACATTCAGAGCGCCCTTGTGTTGTGTGACAAGCAGAATGATCAGTGAGACAGAGGAGCTGAAGAGCTGAAGTGCTGTAGTTGCGTCTACGTGTTTGTTTTGTCTCATAAACTCCAGGCACGTCTGGCCTCTGCTTGCATGCTACAGTAGGGCACCTCTTTCTACCCCACGGCAACAGTTGCTAGGGTTACCGACAGGTCGGCCACTATGGTGATGAGGATAAATGAGCTCAGGGCTTCCATCAGCCCTCGGGTCACATTCCCCCTGCCTTTCTTTATGTCTCTCTTTCTCTCTCACACACACATGTTGCGCTGCGTCCAGTCCTGTGAATGTAAATACCTGCACTCAAGCACACAACTAAACACACACATGCTTACACACCCCGTGGTAGTGCACCCTTCCGGTTTATCTCTGCAAAGCACAAGGTTGCTAGTTTGACTTCCGCTCGTCAAACCGTGCCTGCTGCGTCCGCCTGTCAGTTAAGAGCTGTGAGTTCTGAGCATGTCGCCAATCCATCATTATAATGATCATCTGCTCTGACATCTCATACATCACATCCCCCGCACTCATTAAATATACTGTAGTCGCTCCTTTAGTCATTCATCCATTTCTGTCCATCTGTCTCGAGACAGCGGCGCAGTACAACACTTATGATGTGATGCATGGGCGATTATGTGTCATTTAGCCTTCTGTGCACAGATGTAGTGAAGGGGGCGCACTTAAAAAGTACAAGTGAATGTTTATGGAGGTAATAACCCACCGAGGTCCATTGTTTGTCTCCCATTCAAACTTTTGTTTGCCTGTGTATTTGTGGCATACAGACTGTACAAAGTACACTGGTTAGCTTTATTTTCTGTACTGACTGTTGTTCTGTTGCTTCTCATCTACAGGATGATGGAGATGTGGAAGATGACATGACCATTAGAGAGGTAAGATGCACAACCAGTCCGAGCAATGAGAGCTTAAGAGATCAGCGTGTTAATTGTTTTGGCGAATTAAAAAATGGAGGCACTACAAAATGTTTCACTTCATTAGGGGTTACTACACAGCCAGTGAAAACACAGGTGGAGGTTTGTCAAGATGGGAAAATAGTCCCTGATTATGTCATAGTGATATCATCAGGTTATCTCATCTTGCCTGCATAGGCTCCCTCGATTTTAAAGGTAGCCTGTTATTCTTTTCCTCATTTCCTGCCTGATATATACCATTCTAGTAATGGGTATTCACATTTACCATAATTCAATTCAATTCAATTTTATTTATATAGCGCCAAATCACAACAAAAGTCGCCTCAAGGCGCTTCATAGATACAGAGAAAA